TTTTTTGATGTTTGTTATTCTGGAAAATAGTTAATTATTTATTATAAAGTTGCAGTATATACAATTACTTTGTTGTAAATGATAAATCATAATTCATGTATTTAGGTTTATATTGTAATGTATATTCTTTTCCTGTCACAGATGGTTGGATATATATTAAGATGCCTTGTCTTGCATACATTCCCTCACTCTGCCCTTCCAGATTTCCTTACTTTTTCTAAGTGAATTGTTTTGCTTTTTTCATTGTTTGTTGACAGCAATATAGCCAGATAGTTCACTCAACATTAAATTTAATATGATCAATATGAAGCTGTACTGCTGAACACATAATGAATTTTCAAGTATTTTTAAAATGAGAATGCATTCTCATCATTCAGGATAATTTCAAAGAGTGCTGGGAGATTGCATTTAAGGTTTGGTTGAAGTAATCCAGAAATTGTCATTTAATAAAAATGCACAAAAACTTTCATTACTGTGTGCGTGTTAGACTTCTGCAACGAAAAAAATATTTAGATTTAAATACTGCAAATACAGTTTAAAAATTTATTCTGCAGTATTTCATTGCTTTTGTCTAATTTGGGTACATGTTCTACAGTATCATATCGGGTTAATTTGCATCAATTCAAATACTTTTACAAATATCTTTCTAAAGCTTTTACTAACTACTAAAGTACGGGGATGCACATAAATGGATGTCATTAGATACTGAAATAAGAGAAAGCTTACGGAGTACATTTCCATTTCATTTTGTTCGTTAAAAGTTCCAAAAGAAATTTAGTGTGGCATATGGCCTACAGGTATTTCATTGATACTAAAATAGCCTTTAAACTTAAATAATTCATGTAAGTTGTATCTCTTCATATGACATTCTGTACGCTACCATTATACACTAAAATCGTAATTGTTACTTGTTCAGTGTATATTGTGACTATTCCATTATTCAGTAACAGTACTTTTTTGTTATGAGATGATGAAAATTAAAACAGTGCTTTTATTTTATACAGTATATCAGAGATCTTTGCAAAATTTGTTTGTCCACTTGACTATTGTACAACAGTATTTGCTCTTTTCAGTTAGATTGGATATAAATTTTTTATCAAGCATTGTCAGCTTTAATGAACTGCACATAGGCAGCTTAGTTTTGAATTAATTCCTTATATCAGACTTGGCTACTCTTATGTGTTTTGCATAAATATTTAAATTGTATTAAGTTTATCTTTCACTCTTTCCAAAAAGCTCCTGCATGAAACACCCAAAACATAATGCAGTTTTCACATTTTTTCATATCCTAGTTTAGATTATGTGCATGATACCAGTTATATATAAACAGTGCAAACATGACACAAGCAATAGGTTGCCACAACACAAATAGATCCAGGTGTGTGTTCAGGGATAGCATGACACTGTCCTATTAAGATTTTTATTAGTCTTGTAGAGATGTGGTAGATTCACTCTCATCATAGGATTTAGCTTCTAAGGTAAGTTTTTATAATTTTATAAAGCACATTACCCTTATAATTGAGGGTATTTGTGAATGTTTTCAGTAACCTTGAGACTTGCCATGCATAGCCCTGGATATGACATCCCTGGATCATTCACATACCTGCACATCTAGTGGTGGATTGTTATGGGTAATGTTTACCTCAGTAGGAAAAATTGCCTCATTCAGGATAGCATGGATGATGTGGGGGATGATGGCCTGGGTGGTAATTTGGTGTTCCTCCCGAGTACATCCATGCAAGACAAGCTAGCCTCCATTTTGGAAAACTCCTTCATGGGCAGTGATGACGCATAAGATGGTGGTGAGGAAGGGTTACTCTGGGTTAGGTTGAGGGTCCAAGGTAAGATAAAAGTAGTCCTCAAGTAATTTTTGTGAATGGCCTGAGTAATTTTGAGAAATGCAGTGCTGCTTTGTACAGAAATTTACAAAACTAAATTGTTAGTTCTGCAATAAGAAAGGGAAATGCAATACTGTATGTTGAAACAAGTAGTGGAAAGAGGCTCAAGATATAACCTGCATTTGTACATAATACTAACGCAAGATTGCTGCATTCAGATCACTTACCAAGCCTTGCACAAAGTTATTGAGGTCAGAGATAAACTCGTTGATCAGCTGTGCCACAACAATGTGTTGATGTAGAGTTTCTCTGTTGCACCTCTTTACCTCACAGGATTCGGGTCTTTGTCTGCTAAAAAGAACCCCCAGGAGGTTTCTGCTATTCAAGTAACTTAGCACTGCCAATCAGGGACTTTGTGAGTAGCAAGTTTGAAAGGAATTAAAGTTGACAAGTTTTTGTTGTATAATCTCTAACTTAGAAATGTTCCACAAACTTGTTTTTCACATTCCTAAATTGGCTGCTGTAAAGCAAATTATTTTGTAAGTGGAACATTAGGTTTATATGGAGAGCATTCTTTTCTCCTTAATTGTGGAGTATTTGTAACATTGTTTGTCATATGTAGTGTAATCAAGACTTAATGGTTGTACTTTATCAGCATTACCAAGCTTCATATTAATATAAATAATATAATATTTAAAATGTGCATTTATTTTAATCTTGGAGAAGTGCTAACTTCGTAGGGGTCATATAGTGCCTTGGAGATTGGGAGGCACTTGGGTTTGATCCAAAGAATAGGAAGATAGGTCTGGTTAATTGGTTCAGCAGCCCCTCACTGAGGAATAGATGAGCAATAAATTTTGTTTGTCATAACACTTTGATAAATATTTTACTTAGATACTCAAGTCAGAGTGATCCAGCTTGGCAAGGGTTTAGGTTATTTATGCCTTGCAATTGTATGAAAGTGAAGTACACACTTTACTTGCATGTTTTAGTTCTTAAACTCATTTGCTGTAAGATATTTGAGCATTTCATTTCTGTTCAATATCTTTATTTCAATAACTTTAACCCTTTCGGTGTCGGTCCCGTTATATAACAGCTTTGAAGCTAGAGTTGGTCACATAGTGCAATGCCATGAGCTCAACTCACTCAGATAAGCTGTGAGCAGTAAATTTGCGCCTAGAAAAACAAACCATACCACGGGTGGGGTTTGCAATCGTGTCATTACGATTTCATGAGTCATATTGGGCCTGGATATGAGAAAATGGGAGTATGTGGTAAATTTGCACCATTAAAAAAAATCTGTGACACGCAGTGCATAACAAGAAAAAACTGCAACTGTGTTTTTGGTTTAACTCTTTCAGGGTCTGTCCATAGTTCTATGGCTTTGAAGTCAGGGTCCAAACTGTAAAACTTTGCCAAAATTCTAGCGGCCTCAAATTTAGCACGAGAAGGCTGGTAGGCCTGCATCAAAGAGAATGGGTCTGTGTGCACAGTAAACAAAAAATCTGGGTGCCCGCATGGCAGTGTGGGAATGCCGCCTCAGTAATCTTTGTTCACCATGCCTCGCGGCAAGGCAGCTCTCACTCCAAGGCGAATTGCGACTCTCCTCTTTATAACTGGTAGTTCTGACACTGAAGGAAGTGGATCTGAAGAGGAACTCTAGGGTATTGATCAATTTGTGAATGAAAGGAAATGATCAAGATATCGAAAATACTGTGGAACTTAGGCTTACGAACTTAATCCGTTCTGTGACTTTATTCGTATCCCAATTTGTTCGTATGCTGAGTCAGCTTTCCTCATTTAAATTAATTGAAAGCCATTAATCCATTCTGGCAGAATTCCTGCTCTCAGAGGCAGGAAAAATACACTTAAATATAATGCTAATGTCAACTCATGGCTTATTTATCTATCACAAGGGATCTAATATGACATAATAAACAATATAATAACATAGAAACCTGATGTATAATCTAGAATGAATAAAATGTGTCATTATGTGGCAAGTGGAGGCGGCCATAACCGCTCCCTCATTGTTGTGGTATTCACTGCGAAAATTCTAGCGGCCTCAAATTTAGCACGAGAAGGCTGGTAGGCCTGCATCTAAGAGAATGGGTCTGTGTGCACAGTAAACAAAAGGCCTTTTGAAGCCATCTATTATTATAATTATTATTATAGTACATTATTATTATATATTATTACATTACGTTATTTTCATATAGTCGGACTTGAGTCCTGGAAATGGGAAGTACAATGACTGCACTTTAAAGGAGGGGTTTGGGATATTGGCAGTTTGGAGGGATATGTTGTGTATTTTTATATGTGTATGCTTCTAAACTGTTGTATTCTGAGCACCTCTGCAAAAGCAGTGATAATGTGTGAGTGTGGTGAAAGTGTTGAATGATGATGAAAGTATTTTCTTTTGGGGGATTTTCTTTCTTTTTTGGGTCACCCTGCCTCGGTGGGAGACGGCCGACTTGTTGAAAAAAAAAAAAAAAAATACAGTGGACCCCCGGTTAACGATATTTTTTCACTCCAGAAGTATGTTCAGGTGCCAGTACTGACCGAATTTGTTCCCATAAGGAATATTGTGAAGTAGATTAGTCCATTTCAGACCCCCAAACATACACGTACAAACGCACTTACATAAATACACTTACATAATTGGTCGCATTCGGAGGTGATCGTTATGCGGGGGTCCACTGTATTACTTTATTATTATATCATTATTATTATTATTATTATTGGAGGGAGGGGGGTAAAGGTTTTGTAGGCGAGGGACTTTGACTTCCAGCAAGCGTGCGTGAGCGTGTTAGATAGGAGTGAATGGAAATAAATGATATTTGGGACCTGACGATCTGTTGGAGTGTGAGCAAGGTAATATTTAGTGAAGGGATTCAGGGAAACCGGTTATTTTTATATAGCTGGACTTGAGTCCTGGAAATGGGAAGTACAATGCCTGCACTCTAAAGGAGGGGTTCAGGATATTAGCAGTTTGGAGGGATATGTTGTGTATCTTTATAGGTATATGCTTCTAAGCTGTTGTGTTCTGAGCACCTCTGCAAAAAGAATGATTATATGTGAGTGAGGTGAAAGTGTTGAATGATGATGAAAGTATTTTCTTTTTGGGGATTTTCTTTCTTTTTTGGGTCATCCTGCCTCGGTGGGAGACGGCCGACTTGTTGAGAAAAAAAAAAAAAAAAAATATATATATATTTATATATATATATTATATATATATTATATATATTATAAAAATATATATATATTATATATATTATATATATATATATATATATATATATATATATATTATATATATATATATATATATATATATATATATATTTATATATATATATATATATATATATTATATATATATATGGGGTCCACCTCTGGTGTAAATTGTGGGACCCATAGCCTCGGAGAAGTGGATAAAAAGGCTTCAAGGAAGAATATTTGGATTTCTTCCTGAAGCCATTTGAATATTCCACTTAATTTTTTTTTTTTTTTAACAAGTCGGCCGTCTCCCACCGAGGCAGGGTGACCAAAAAAGAAAGAAAATCCCCAAAAAGAAAATACTTTCATCATCATTCAACACTTTCACCACACTCACACACTATCACTGTTTTTGCAGAGTTGCTCAGAATACAACAGCTTAAAAGCATATACATATAAAGATACACAACATATCCCTCCAAACTGCCAATATCCCAAACCCCTCCTTTAAAGTGCAGGCATTGTACTTCCCATTTCCAGGACTCAAGTCCGACTATATGAAAATAACCGGTTTCCCTGAATCCCTTCACTAAATATTACCCTGCTCACACTCCAACAGATCGTCAGGTCCCAAGTATCATTAGTCTCCACTCACTCCTATCTAACACGCTCATGCACGCTTGCTGGAAGTCCAAGCCCCTCGCATACAAAACCTCCTTTACCCCCTCTTTCCAACCCTTTCGAGGACGACCCCTACCCCTCCTTCCTTCCCCTATAGATTTATATGCTTTCCATGTCATTCTACTTTGATCCATTCTCTCTAAATGACCAAACCACCTCAACAACCCCTCTTCTGCCCTCTGACTAATGCTTTTATTAACTCCACACCTTCTCCTAATTTTCACACTCCGAATTTTCTGTATAATATTTACACCACACATTGCCCTTAGACAGGGACATCTCCACTGCCTCCAACCGTCTCCTCGCTGCTGCATTTACCACCCAAGCTTCACATCCATATAAGAGTGTTGGTACTACTATACTTTCATACATTCCCTTCTTTGCCTCCATAGATAATGTTTATATATGTATATATATGTATATATATGTGTATATATATGTGTATATATATGTGTTATTATGTGTATATATTTAATTATGATTATATATTATTTTATATAGTCGGACTTGAGTCTGGAAATGGAAGTACAATGCCTGCACTTTAAGGAGGGGTTTGGGATTGGCAGTCTGGAGGGATATGTTGTGTATCCTTAGTATATGCTTCTAAATGTTATTCTGAGCACTTGCAAAAGCAGTGATTTTGTGAGTGTGGGTTTGGAGTGGATGATGATGAAAGTATTTTCTTTTTGGGGATTTCTATTACTGTTTTTTTGGGTCACCCTGCCTCGGTGGGAGAGGATCATCGACTTGTTGAAAAAAAAAAATGTTAATTATGTATGATATAGTATTTTCTTTGTTGATTTATTTTATTTTTATTTATGTATGATATTATACTATACTTGTTTAAAAAATAAATTATATATATATGTATATGTATTGTATATATATATATATATATATATATATATATTATATATATGTATTTTATATATTATTATATATATATATATTTATATATATTTATATATATATATATATATATATTATATATATTATATATATATATATATATATACTATATGGTTTCATAGAAAAAGAAAATATTAGAAAAGAAAAAAGTAAAATAAAAAAATTCAAATTTATGGAAGGCGCAGATGTTGCCT